CTTTTAGTTTTTGAAAACGCACTCTACAGATCAATCATTTTTAACTTGAGAATTGCGTATTTTGAAAAAAGGGAAAGAGTGACATTTATTTAGTTAGAATAGGTGTTTTTTAGAGATACAGAGTAACTATGGTAGGTTTTTTGCGATGACAAAATTAGCCCGCAGTGCAGGCAGTTTTGGTGGTTTTCATCTTTCGAGTGTTTAGTCCCCATGTTGGATTCGCTGCAGACTGGCAGAATATTGGGGCGAGAATGCGAGAATGTCGGAGTGGGTGGGGGGGGGACGGGGAAGGAAAACCGCCTGCCTGAAGAGGCTGTAAAATTCAAAAACGCCCCTAATTAGTATCGCTTGATCGCTTTCCGGAAGTGAATCGTCGACCAGTGAAAATGAAGTAATTTCTTACCGGAAGATAAAATCCACTTCCGACAAAAACAAATAGAATACACGTGTTGTCAACTCGGCAAACTTTCAGAGCTACAATGTTGAGATGTGGGGAAAAAAGTGCTAGTAACAACTGCAGCCTTTGCAACATTTCTTTTAAAGTTAAATTCGGAAATGTCGCTGGTAAACAGTCATTCGTCGTCGGAAAATCTTTTCAAACCTTCAAAACGTAAAGATTGTTTTGGCGTCGTTTTACCAATATTTGTAGGCAAGTAGGATTGGAGTTGATACAAGACTCGCAAGTATTTTCAGATCGAGTGTGCAACCCTTGTGGTCGCAAAATTCGAAACCTGGGCCAGTTGTACTAGTTCGTGAAAGCTGGAAGTTTCAGAACAGCAAGCACTCCCAGTAAAAAACAGTGGTAAACGCGATCTCGATATCGATACTCCGCAGAAAGCAAGTTCATCGTGGAGGAAATCGAAGGTGGTTCGTGTTAATTCACCAGCAGCCAAGAGACCAGTGAGAGAAGTAAACACGTCGAGGAAATGTCTCACGTTTGGAACGGAAAATATGGTTTCTGCGTGTGCATCTGCAGCGGAAGGACGAAATGTTAAGAAAACTTAACGTGGACGATTTTCCCTCAAAGAAAAAGTAGTTTACCGGACCCCTTCTGGACAAGTAATTGCGAGAATTCCACGAGATGAAAAGTCTAAAGCATTAGTGAGAAATATCGCTTGCGAAAAGTGGCGTGAGGCGTCCAATGTCGTTCTGAAACACGAAGAAATTGATGGCGAAGTGAAGCAGGGAATCAGCAAAGCTGTATCAAAGGAGTTCGACGAATACCTGAAACCGGGAAGCATGCTCGAACTCAGAAATCCAGACGAACTTGCAAGTGATGTCACCGTTAATCCCATTGAAGAAGCTTCAATTAACTGACCTTGAACGATCTTTTCAGCGGACAGACAATAATCACGTACGCAGCTTTCGACAACAATATTTCTTGGATACGAATCAACAACTGAAAGACGAGGCTTTTTCCAAAGCCTGTCGGAAGAACTGGCAATAAATCGCTCCCATGCACAAGCGTTTAGATTGCTTCTTTATGTTCGTGGCGTAATTGACGCGACATACCCAGCTCAGAGAGAAATGAAAGAGATTCTTCGAGTGCAGCATCGAAAGTTAGCGAGTCTGCCATTTTCTCGATCACATCACAGAGAASCACGCGCACGCATGGCAGGAAGAGCCTGAAGGAATGTTAGCACTGATTGGCAAGTATCAATCTGAATGCACCCTGCCGTACCAATCAGAGACTACGTTCGTGGGCGAACGGAGTTTCTTAAACGAACAATCAGTGCGGGCAGGCGGATTTCTCTTTCCCCTAGCCTCCCCCTCCTCCTTCCCCAATTTTTCTCTCTCCCTCCCACTAGCTTGGTAAACTTTTTACCTCGCTCCAACTCTCCACTGTTTTTCTAATTCAAGATGGCGGCCTGAACAACCGATGGGAATATCCACTCGCCCCGCCAAAATCCACCTGCACTGCAGGCTATGACAAAATTATCTTTGATGATTTATTTACCTTTAACTACATTTGGATTTTGGAGTCTGTCATTAACAAAATTGTAAAAAAAAAAAGAATTATGAGCGAGCAAAAGAGATTATGTGCATCCAGCCATTAAGTAATGGATGGATTCCGAGAGACGGGAATATCGTTTCAAGGTCTCTTAAGCTTACCTCGACATTGACCATCACAAAATATTTACTCAGATCGGCAATTTCTTGCGAATTCGCAAAGTCGGGTTTCAACGCTGTAAAAAAAAATATATAACTTGCTTTAGCAACAAATCAGAAATATTTTCCATGTGGAAATACAGGACAATGTGTATCCGAAAAGATGTCTCTTTCGTTCTAAGTAGACTTAACACCATTTGTTGGCGTTATCATATTTTTGTAATTCAGTAATGAAGCAGAGAAAGGTTGTTACCTTTGCATGCTCCACACCAAGTCTTGTAAATCAGCAACATTATAGGTGTATCACTGTGAACGGAGAAATCGTGCTTGTCAAGTTCTAGTGATTAGCTAAGAAAAGGCTGGTAACTTATGGATAGTTTTGTACTGAAAGGATGTCCAACAGTGGAAAGTTGCATTTATGCTTGAACTCGTGTAAGTCGCATAAATGGATGGTCGAAGTGAGGAATTGTATAAAAGCATCCTTACATTTTTATCACAAACATTTATCAGCCTTTGTAGATATGGGTTTAAAATGGTACCTGTTTTCGTCATAACAGATTTAAGGCAACTTCTAGATTTCAAGAAATGACTATGGCACATTCTCAGATAGCCGATTTGTAAAACATTTTTGTTTCCTGGTGAGCATGACTATGCACTTTTATCTTTCAAAGTTCTGACAGACTGAAAAGAACAACCTGTCGTCGTTAAATGTCGCAAATCAAAAGTTGACATCCTCGGTTCTTTCTTAACTGCAGCAAGAATTCGTTATGTTTATAAATCAAAACCAAAACTAACAAATAGAGGGTTTCTCATTTTTTTCCGATGTCCACAACCAGTTATTATTGGTGAAGCAATCGAGAAAAAAACACACGTTCACATAAAACTCGTGGTAATTGTAAAATTGTCGAGTTATTTTGCCAGACTCTTAATTTTTGGCTTTATTACGATTTAATACCTCGTGACTTAGGAAATCTCTCATTCTCTTAGCTTTTACTTCAATTTCAATTCCCTCTCACTTCGAAACAGACTTTTTATCGAGGATAAATAAAGACTATAGACTGATTTCTGTAAAGCTCGTATAGAATTGTTAGCCTATTCATGTCACCCAACGGCAAATTTTTCTTTATTGGGATTTCCCCACGGATGCGGTGGCAAGCTCCTTTCCATGCTTCGAGTTTCGGTACGCATCTACAATCTGATATACTTTCCAGAAAGTAGTTGTAAATCAAAATATTCCGAGCGCTTCGTTTTCACGTATGGAGGCGATCATTGTTTCGTGATCGATTTGCAATACTTAGTACGGATCAGACTGAGCGCGGCCTTTCAGAACACTGTGTTGTTTTATTCTTCACTCTAATTCTTATTTTATTTATCATTAAAAAAAATCTATTTACCTCTTTTTTGCTTCTTTTAAACCATTTTCCAACGTTCTCCATTCTATCTTTTCTCCCCAGCCTGAAAATTCAAATTCAAGGTGGAATCACTAAAAGTTTTCATTTTCTAACTGCTTTCAAAGAAGTGAAATCATAGCGTAAATTTAAACATTCCATACCTCGATCAAGAGGTGACTCAGCCTCGAATTCACCGCATTCGGAAATAGCTAAATTAGAAAATAAAATTAGGGCGATAAATTGCCTCATCTTTATACTGCGTTCTTTTAAAGTTGAAGACTTCTTTCCTTTACTGTCTGTCTCCGTTTACAAGAAATACTGTGCGGTGAAGACAATATTGCCCTTATCCACCTGCTGAATCGCCTGGTTGGTCTATTGGACAATGCGAATAAAAGTATAGAAGGTTGTTGGACTAAAAACTGGTAACACGCTCTTGTTCATTAATAATTGAGTTATTCCCGTTTTGTGGGGAGGGAAATTCAATTGAGGTGGAGTTGAGAGAAGCAAGATTTTTTTAGGGAAATTAAGAGGACCATCTTATGGAAAACTGATGTCAGTTTTATTGTCGCAACTAGCATTTCTTCTTCGGGTAAACCGAGACACAACAAAAAAATGGAGAAAGTCGTAGATCTTCGGAACTCGGAGATTTCCGTCATGCGAGGGCCGGGAAAAAGTTCGACATTTCGGGGGTGAAAAGCCGAAAACTGTTCAAATTGTGTCAGGTTCTGGTTGAATGAACCATTTTAAAAGAACTTCGTTTTTCTAAAATTTATTTTCCCTTTCTACATATAAATTTAAGACTGCCGATCTTTACCGACGCAATGGATCGCCAAAAGACTGGGACGAGACAACGTTGGACCGCGTGACGCTAAAGAGCCTGAGTTCAAACTCTCCTAATATGGCAAATCTCGTGAGTTCTTGTGCGCACGCGTTCGACTTACGCAAGAAAAAAACCACTTGCACCTTACAACTTGCATCAGCCGTCGAACAGGGAGGCCTGTACTTCGAACGCAAAATCGCTGGAAATTGAAAAATGTGGTCTACTTTAAAAACTTCTCGAAGATCTCTCAAGTGTCTTGCCAGGGTTGCTCGTAATGCGGCCTCGCTGAGATCGTTTGGGTCTGTCAGCAATCAGGTACATAACTCAATCACGATAAGCTGCCGGTTGACATTTGTACCTCTTCTGATTTTCTGATCGTCGGTCTTCTTTTTGCCTCTTACAGAGAATTATTACTGCAGATATTCTGTCAAAAAATGGATTCTGTATAAGTCGACCATACAGGTAAATATACGGTTGTTTGTCGTCTAGCTAAAATATTTTAAAGGTAATCCAGTTTCCACGTGGTCGCCATCGGGGCCAATAATCGACACCAGCCTGCCAGTGCTAATTCGCCTCTAATAAAAAGCATAAAACTTTTTCAAACCATATTCATTTCATTTTTATTTTCAAGATTTTTTAGAACGAAACTGGGATATGAGGCGAACATATGGCCCCGCAGCTATCAAAGATCGCGCTCAACTGCAACCTGAATAAATTTTACTCTCTGTACATACAGTAGCTTATGTAATCGTTCACTGTGAAAATTTTTCTTGTATTGAAACAGTGCGTTTGGGTTGTACAATGTCCGTATTGTTCTCGATCTGCTAAAGTTGCTGTTATCTATGAGGAACTCTGAGCTTGTTATCTATGCCTTATGTCCTTTAGAAATACCATGGAAAGGAATGCACTGTATGTTTACTTTACTTTATGACTGCCAAATTATGTTGCATAAATCCTAATTTTTTGCAACTCGATGGCAGTGTTTACCTGTACAAACTTCGAGCTGAAAGATTTCTTGAATGGAAATTTTTTGTCAAGAACAAGATCTCAACTTTTGGCATGGGGATGTAAAAAGAATGTTTATTTTACAATGTCAGTGATAATGGTATAAAAGGTTCTGATTGCACTAGGCAGATGGTTATGCCTGGGACAGGAAGTTTCAACCCTTTTTAGTATCAAAATCTCATTTGTCAATCTCCTTACTGTCTGCTAGACATACATGTATCTTGAAATATTTGAGGCAGAGAAAATAACATCCTTCCCATGAAACTACTTCATCTTTCTTCCCATGACCTTTCTGCCTTAAATTGTACCTGCATGTATATTCATATATTCAATAGAAATCRMCKARRTTCATCTGTCTTCATTAGGTTGGAAACAATGACATGAATCATATACTCTGAGATATCAAACCTACTTACCTATGTCTTACGCCCACAAATTAAAATGTTAACAGTTTGACTTACATGGGACCTCCAATCTCCTACTGGTAATAGGGAGAATTTTTACGTGAGAGAGCCCAAAACTGAAATTGAAAGTCAGACAAAATAAGTTTGGATTCACTGTTTGTGCCATAGCTCTGAAGTTATGCGAGGTGCAAGGAATTTTATAAATTAGAGCCCAAAATTAACATTAAAATGGAAAGTCAGACAAAATAAGTTTGGGTGTACTATTTGTGCCGTAGCTCTGAAGCCGTGTGAGGTGCAAGGAATTTTATACGTCAGAGCCCAAAATTAAAATTGAAAGTCAGATGAAATAAGTTTGGATTTACTATTTGTGCCGTAGCTCTGAAGCTGTTCGAGGTGCAGTATGCGGTATTGACCTTGGAACAACAAACTCCTGTGTTGCTGTGATGGAAGGAAAGACACCAAAAGTGCTGGAAAATGCAGAAGGATCACGAACCACGCCCTCTGTGGTGGCCTTTACCAAGGAAGGAGAAAGACTTGTTGGTACACCAGCTAAAAGACAGGTACATTTTGACCATTACATTGATTTTGAGTTTTTTTAATCTACTCAGCTTGCATCTAGCTGAAATGCAAATAGTTAACAAGAATTGTAGTGTTCAGAAGGTTACTATACACTGTAGTTTCCAAAGTGGCCTACAATTTTTATATGTTGAAGTTCATTTATTTGTTTAAGCAGGTTGATTAATTTGGCAGCAGTAATAGCTGATGTGGACCTGCTTTCCTAACCCACCCATCCCACCCCAGGGGAGGACATCCATCACACAGTAATCTCGTGTGTGGGAAATTAACGTCTCCTGCCCCAACCCTGCAGGAGACGGGACCTCCATTTATTCGTCCCTATCCGAGAAGACTAGAATATCTAACCATTTCTTGTTGTTATAGAAAGGTAGCAAATTCTTCTCAATTATTTTAAACTTCGAGTGTTGGTCCGGCCGGGGCTCGAACCCTCGACTTCCCACACTACAGTCCAGCGCTCTATCCATTGAGCTAACCAGGAGGTGGTTAGCTATACTGTACAGATTTTTGCGCACTAAAGATAACATTCATTCAACAGCCATGTTATGCATTGTGTTATGAATTGCAAGCCTCTTATGGTAAATGACACTTTCCCTAGGCTGTTACAAACCCAGAAAATACATTGTATGCCACCAAAAGGTACATTGGTCGCAGATTCGATGATCCAGAAATCAAGAAAGATGCGTAAGTATTTCCTTTGATTTTTAATGCTAAGAAAAATTATTTGCATGTAAGATCTTTATTAAGCTTTTTTCTTTTGCACTCTGGTCAGTTAAACAACAGCCAATTATTTTTTACTTATTTTAGACAAAGTGTGTCATTCAAGATAGTCAAAGCCTCAAATGGAGATGCATGGTTTGAAGCCAATGGCCAGATGTATTCGCCCAGCCAGGTTGGAGCTTTTGTACTTATGAAAATGAAAGAGACAGCAGACAATTACTTGGGTACGACAGTCAAGAATGCAGTGGTCACTGTGCCTGCCTACTTCAATGATTCTCAAAGACAGGTTGGTGTAACTATATCACTGTGGTAGGTCTGTAGGATACCTGCCTACAATGTAAATATGCAAATGTTGCTTTACAACCAAATCAACTTTATTTTACACTGGTAAACAGATTTAAAAACATTTATTCAACTGAGAAATTGGTAGCCCTTGATCCTAGCAGCAGTTATAGTACAGTGATGAATATGTGCATGAACACTATTGACTGATTTGATTAGGAATGAAAAATTACAAAAATCGATTGGTCGGCTAAATGAAATTTATAATGCCCTTGGACTACAAGTAAGTCAGTATAGCAATCCAAATGTGGGAATCAACACAATTAAATAACCTGACTCTACATTGTGATTATAGAAGTCGCGACTTTCTGTAAAGCAATAGGTTGGGAGTTCCAGAGTCTGGTAGCAGAGACACCAAAAGTTATCCCTCCCTCAGAATTGCAAATTAAGACAGGACAGACAAGGTGCACATTACTGTGGCAACCAGTTTGTGTGTGTTAATCTGCAGAACATCTAACTAGATCTTACATGTATTCAAGAAAGTTTCATAGTAAGTGCTCCCGTCGTCAGCTGGCAAAGACGACAATCGATTCTATCGTCATCGGTGAATCTAGCCTTAAACCCTCAGGAAGTGTTCGAAATCTTGGATCATGGATTGATGCCCAAATGCATATGAATATACATAATTATAGGCAAGACCTGTAGTAAAGCTTTTCATGGTCTGTATAAAATAAGACAGATTAGGAAATTCCTCAATGTTAACACAACAGAAACTTTGGTCCATGCATTTGTGTCCTCTCACCTTTACTACTACCATGCCCTTCTCTTTGGCCTACCTAAATATCAACTCTATCGCCTTCAGAAAGTCCAAAACGGAGCAGCTAGAGTTGTTTTTCAATTGTCCAAGTTCAACCACACAACACCTACTCTTGCTGACCTGCACTGGCTCCCTTTAGAGTTCCAAGTCCAGTTCAAACTGCTTCTAATTGTATATTAAGTCCTTACATAACCAAGCTCCGGATTATATTAACGATCTTGTATGAGAAGACTTTGACAACAAACTGCTTCAGCATTTAATTACAGAATTCAAAAGAGAGGTGAATTTCATCAGCACTGTCCTTCTACATGTACTTTTACATCAACATTGAACAATTCAGTGACATTTTTCTGAGTGATAGCCAAACACTTGAAACTCACAAAGAGAGTGAATTTACCTTTCAGAGTGGAGTTGACTTGTCCAAGGATAACATGGCTTTACAGAGATTAAGAGAAGCCGCAGAGAAAGCTAAAATTGAACTGTCATCATCAGTCCAAGTATGAATTCTTACAATGGGTTTTTGCATTTGCATTGAATTAACTAGATCTTACATGTATTCAAGAAAGTTTCATAGTAAGTGCTCCCGTCGTCAGCTGGCAAAGACGACAATCGATTCTATCGTCATTGGTGAATCTAGCATTAAACCCTCAGGAAGTGTTCAAAATCTTGGATCATGGATCGATGCCCAAATGCATATGAATATACATAATTATAGGCAAGACCTGTAGTAAAGCATTTCACGGTCTGTATAAAATAAGACAGATTAGGAAATTCCTCAATGTATACACAACAAAAACTTTGGTCCATGCATTTGTGTCCTCTCACCTTGACTACTGCCACACCCTTCTCTTTGGCCTACCTAAATATCAACTCGATCGCCTTCAGAAAGTCTAGAACGCAGCAGCTACAGTTGTTTTTCAATTGTCCAAGTTCAACCACACAACACCTACTCTTGCTGACCTGCACTGGCTCCCTTTATAGTTCCGAGTCCAGTTCAAACTGCTTCTAATTGTCTATTAAGTCCTTACATAACCAAGCTCCAGATTATATTAACGATCTTGTATGAATATATGTATGAATATATATATATAGATAACCTCCATTTTATGTTTTCTTGAAGATATTAGCTCCAACAAGCTACTCTAAAATTCGAGATGAAATAAAGTTTATGATGATATGATGACGATGATATGATGACGATGATCTTCTGTCTATGAAAACCAAATCCAACTATTTTCTTCGTTCGTCCTCAGTTTCTTCTGTCAGTTCCCAGAGTCAACTGCTCTACATTTGGGGGTCACGCTGCACTGGTTCTATGGAACTCTTTACTGACAACTATTAGATCTAGTAGCAGTATTTCTGTGTTTAAAAAAAGCCTGAAGACTCTTCTTTTTAAAGAGGCTTTTAATTTGTGACTTTTGGTCTATTTGATAATTATATATTCTTATTACACGACTCGGGCAGTCAGAGGGCCAATAACTAAAATCAACCGATCAAAATTCTCTATTTCTGGTCAATATTCTCTCGGTATTGGACCGGGAACTGACCCAAATGGTCCTGAATGATACTGCACTTGTGTCCCTTTGAACTTCAGTCGTATAATAAATCTCTTATTAACCAAGCTTGCTCGGGACCGTACTGGAAGAATATCGGCCCTTGGTCTTTTTTGTACAGACCTCACTGCATTCGGTCCGTGCTGTCAAGACCTCGGGCCGATATTCTCCAAGTACAGCCCTCGCACTTGGTTAATAAGATATATTTATTGTACAGCGCTTTTGAATATTGACCAATTGTTAAAACGCTCTGTAAATATATCTACATTTGTCAACCCAAACTTTGTCATTAAACAGAAGCCATTCTAATAATACACATGATATGAAAATTCTTTCTGTGCAGGCCACTAAAGATGCTGGCCAGATAGCTGGACTGAATGTTTTGAGAGTGATTAATGAACCCACAGCTGCTGCCTTGGCTTATGGCATGGACAAATCTGAAGACAAAATGTAAGTTATAGCTACTCCTTCCATTCAGCTTGTTACTGATGTCCATTGTATCTTAAGTATTGTTGTTGTCGTCTGGCATAACATAGGGTTTTACTCGGGATATAGCCTGCCAGTTGAAATTACAAGTGAGGCAGCTAAGAAAGGGTATTTTGAGGGCAACAAGATCCCTGGCTTTGAATGTAGGCTGCTAAAACAAAATCACAATAAACAAGTGCAAAAAGAATAACATTTTCCATTATTTTACTGTTGTAGTGTCATTAATACCTTGGTTAGTTAGGCGTATATCCATCTGTAAATCCTTTCAGTTAAATGTTTTGTTTTTTTTGATATTTAGCAATTGTAAGTGTGTACATGTGTTTTGTGTACACTTGCTATTTTGCTTGAACAAGTGATCGCCAGCCTAGAATCCAACTTTTTTCCTGTGGCAAATTTTGCTGGCAGCCAGCACTTGCAACATCCCCATCAGTGTGCACTGAGATTGATTGATCCCATGTACTTCGAATATTTTTTGAAGGATGAAGATACATTGTTAAAAGAAATTCTAAAGAGGAATTTTAATTTCGTCTATTTCAATGTATAGAATTGCAGTGTATGATCTTGGTGGGGGTACCTTTGATATTTCCATCCTAGAAATACAGAAAGGGGTTTTTGAGGTGAGAATCAGTATCAACTACATGTATATAATAACATGTACAGTACAGCTCAAAGATGAGTGTACCAAAATGTGCACATTGAAAATGTGCATTGTTTGCATGCAAGACCAGATGAATATTAGTCTTGACAGATGAGCACACACAACTATTCTTAGTTGCATTTGTGAGAATAACTAGTATGCATGAGCTAGCCAATTGTTTTCTCCATTGGGGAATGGTCATTGTTTATCTCAATGGGCTTTGTATTTGGAGTAAAAACATTCAGAAAAATTAATGGTAAAATAGCACTAATTTTGCTAAAACATGTTCTAGAGTCATTATATTTTGATGTAAAATAAAAAAATAAGCTTCACAGGGACTTTAAGCTGCACCGATAGTCCATTGACCTTGTTGAGTTTCTTTTGGCTTTGTTTATTTGTTTACCACTGTGGTCTTTTTGCCTTAGCATAGTTTTCACTCACTGGCAAATTTTCAGTCTAGTTTCACTTGCTAACAAACAAGGTAGTAGCATGTTACATAATCAAGTGTTTGACTAGTTGCCTTAATTTGCAGGTCAAAGCCACAAACGGCGACACTTACCTTGGTGGAGAAGACTTTGACAACAAACTGCTTCAGCATTTAATTACAGAATTCAAAAGAGAGGTTAATTTCATCAGCACTGTCCTTCTACATGTACTTTTACATCAACATTGAACAATTCAGTGACATTTTTCTGAGTGATAGCCAAACACTTGAAACTCACAAAGAGAGTGAATTTACCTTTCAGAGTGGAGTTGACTTGTCCAAGGATAACATGGCTTTACAGAGATTAAGAGAAGCTGCAGAGAAAGCTAAAATTGAACTGTCATCATCAGTCCAAGTATGAATTCTTACAATGGGTTTTTGCATCTGCATTGAATGATACATCATTGTTATTTGCACACAAAGTTACACCGTAATTATTTAGACCAAATATTTTTACTGTGAAATTGATAAAGGAGGTAAGTCTCTGTAGAAACTTTTGTGCTGCAGAGATGGACGTATTATGAAATTTTTTGGTTTTATCTACTGAGTGGCTACTGCAAAGAGTTTGTAGAGGTGATGTTTAGAGCTTTAGTGCTTCATCACCACCAGAAACTCTTGACAGTAGCCAATAAGTGTTATCATCTCAGTTGATAAAACCAAATTATCTGTGCGTGTGCTGTTCTTACTCCCATTGCTGTGAATGACCTTTGGACCTCTCACACTATTTTAATCATACAGGAATATCCATGCATTGACTATACACAGGTTAATTTTCTTATTATTTTATTTACAGCATTTTTTTTTTTAATTTTTTTACAGACAGACATCAACTTACCTTATATTACAGTAGATTCCAGTGGACCTAAACACTTGGCTATGAA